GATTTTTACTTTTTTTCCCCTATTGATTAGGAGGCTGCTGTACACACAAACCTAGCACAGCATGGAAAGAGAAAGGGAGGCAAAACAGCTCACATCCCGGCAATTCATCATGGTGGAAAATTCATCTTGGGAACCCCAGTTTTCTCCCACTATCTCTTTCAAATAAAGAAGGAAGCCTTTCCCTTTTGCAGAAATCAACCCACAGGGCTCATGAGATGATTGATAACACTTTGTTTTTATTCCAACCATCTCTGACTAGCAAACATTTCAAAGGTTACCAAGGAGTCTTGCAGGAAGAGCACGGGAGTTGTAGCTTCAAGACTTAATCTGGAACAGATTTCTTGGTTATATATGGGTACCCAACTCATTTATAACAGCACCCAGATCCCACTAAAATCAGTGCAAATACTTTGATTTTGGTGGGCTTTGCTACTATATTCTGAACTTTTCAGTGCTTCAGTGCCTCTGTAAACTAATGTACTTTGTAAGACTGTTATGAGGCTAAATGAGTTGTTTGCACAACTTTTAGCTTGGAAGAGGATATAGGTCAGAAGCTGAGGGAATTACGTATTGCAGCTTTATACCCTCTTACTTGGTCCCTGCCAGAGTTCCAGTCCTGTCTAAAATGGAGTTTTTTAGGCACTCTCAGGGCAGCACCAGTGCCGCTTTTACATGGAAACCTACTAATTTTAATTATTAGACCTCTGTGCTCTGAATCTCTCTTCTTTCTTCCTTTCCAGTCACAGTATTACACTAGAGATGACTCTTCTGTAGTATTTGAATATTTGATGTTTGAACTGCCTTTTATGTTGATCCTCAAGTTAGATGAACCTGAAGAAAAGAGGACCACTGAGGCTATTTCCATCTGTATTTATCTCCCTGTCTCGATCTCATTTAAATCTCTATTATCCCAACCTGCAATTCTCTGGCAAAACCCCACAAATCTTCTTTCCTTGGTTTACTAGTTTGTTAAATTGGCCTAAGAAAACCACCAGCATGAAGATATGATGTGAATAACGTTTCTTAAGTGCTTTGGGACCCTCAGCTTTGGATGCCAGTGATGACTGCTCTGATCACCCCCTCTGCTTATCTAACCATACAGACTTTTTCCAACTTTCTCTTTTCATTCTCTTTCTGCATCAGATCTCACTTCTGTCTTCTCTGCCCATTGGCTTCCAGTTCTATAATCATCACCCTAACCCCAATTTATTTTTCCTAGCATCTCCTCTGCTGGTGCCTCTGTCTATTAACACCTCTGCTCTGCCTCCAAATACAGCTGTGTCAACTCCATCTCTTTTACATCTCATTACAGCAGCTCCTTCTGAGCTGGCCTCCCCAGGATGAAGATTCCTAGATACCAGTTTTCGTACACTATCGCGGTCTGATTTTCTCTTATGTGCCAAAAAGCTCCACTGCAGCTCTCAATTCACAAACACTCTAGTCAGCTCCATTACCATCCCATGGAGCTGCTTCCGACTTTGTGCCCTTCATCTCCCTTCCTGCATCTTTCCTGTGCCCCTATTTTTCCTACAGCACTGCCCCTTCTCTCCACAAATAGCAACACTCTTGGTTTGCCATTGGAAGCAGACTTCCTGTGGCTCCCTGTCTCATCAGCTTCTCATTTCAAGTAATTTAAAATGTAATTTAAAATCTCTCTATTTCCTCCAGACTATTAATTTCTCTCTCCTTACTCTTCTATAGATGTCATTCTGTGTTGCGCTATTCAGTAAGACTGTTGTAAAAACCTGGCACAGTGTTTTTATTCTGCATTCTTGTTTTGGATTATAATTTTTAATGGTTCTTTGTAGGAAAGATGAAATCTCAGCACAGCATCTAGCCACAGCACAAGCAGTCACACAGGACATTCTGGCATTTGCATTGCCTTTCTTCCATTCTTCTCCTGCGGCATTTAGAATCGTAGAGGAAATGTTGTCAGTGGCCTAAGAGTATATAAGTATTGTAGCAGGAAGAGAATCATTTCTGGAAATTGGGAATTGTGAGGCAGGAAGCTGTGTTCAGTCCTTATCCTGGGATGTGCTGAGCCCTCATAGATCTCACTACTCTCAGCCAGAGGTTAAAGAGCTCACCACCCTGCAAACATGGCCTTCTTACACTGGCCATTTCTTTCTGGGGAGAACGTGCCCCTCTGGTGCTGTCACTTGGAACCAAACTTGTCAAAGCTGCAGAAATACGTAATAAACAGTTCTGGATTGTTTGAGGGTCTCTGTTTTGGCCCAGCCACTGCATCACCCTTGGCATCTGCCTGGGTTCATTAGATGTAAAAATATGTAATCCTGACATTGCAGCAATATATTTTTATTTACAGGTGAAATCTGTAATTTCTCACAGTATTGGGGTCCCCTGCAAGCCCAAATCCACAACCTGTGCAGTGACTGCTTGCTCTTCCTACTAGGCTCACTAGACTCGTATACCAACAGAAGAAAGCTCCTCAGCCCAGAGACGACTTCTGTCCAGGCAGCCACACGTACAGTGACCCAAAGCAGCACTGCCATTTGTAACAGTGAAATAAACACTTAACCCCATAGGCTATGCAGGGGAGCCCAAAGTGAAAACACAAAGCATCACCCCTTGTCTCTCTCTCCTCCCTGAATGACCCTCGTGTGTAAGGGTGGGATCCTGGGAGCTTTCAGAAGACCTAAGATCTCTTTGCTTCCACTAACTCCAGCCAGGTCCCTCCTGTGGCATTACTACAAGAGCTGTGCTACACAGTTTTGAGAGTACCGAGTAACTGAGGAGCCCACCTTCCTCGGAGCTCCATGCTCCGCACATTGGTGCCTGATGGATTTGAGTGCCAGAATAGCCAGCTGCAGTTTTTTCCTCTTCAGAGTCTTCCAGACTCCTGGCCCAGCTTTTCTACCTTTGAAGAATGAGAAGACTTGAATACTGGGGTTAAGTTGGAGGTGAACAACCACCAACACAAAAAGAAAATGGCTTAGAGTCCCAGTAATTATTTTTTCCACACTTATACCTTCCCCCTTCAAGGCCCCTTCCTTCTTTCAGTGGGAATGTCTCAGAAGGGGAGAGGAAGTCCTTGGTGATCTCTAGGTTCGCCAGCTAAGAGCCTTACAGAGCCTCCTCTTCAACACAGGCTGTCCTTGTAAAGCCACCATCGCAGGGGTGTTCTCTACATCTCTCTGCCTCTCAAAATCCTTTGAACCAAGGACAATGGTTCAGAGCCTGTCCACAGCTACCATACTCCACACTCCTGCATCAGGCTGCGTCCAAAAAGTGCACTGGGGCCACATCCCCCTTGCCCATCACTCCATGAGTGCAGAAAGAGACTCCCAGCTCCTGTGGCAGAAGCCAAAGCCAGGATTCTCCCAGGTGAGGCTGGGAACTCAGTGGTCTTAACCTGCACTGTCTCCTATCACCTCTCATCCCTTCTCCTGCCTCCCCAGGTCCTTTCCTGCATGCTGGTGGTGATCTGTGTATGGCTGATGCCAGACACCACGAGTGCTGGCTGCTAAACACCTGCAACTCAGTCTCAGTTGTGCAGGCCCTTCAACTGCGGAAGGTGATCAGTGGTCTGCAGGGCAGCCAATGCCCCCCTTCACCACCACCACACCCCCCCCCCCCCCCCGCTGGCTATGAAGCCTTTCAATTCCAACAATCCTGGGGCAGACTGTCCTGAAAGGACAGTCCCAGTCTGCACCCAGAGAGGGAGGAGGGAAGGGAGGTAGATGGAGTTATGAAATTGTAACGTGGCTGAAGCCCTCTGAGTGGTTCAGCTTCCCAGCACTCACTTCCCTCAGCCCTGCTCCCTGCACAGAACAGCAGTGAACCTACAACAGCTCTTCTGGCCCCCTTTTCACTGAACAACGAATCCGATCAGAGAGAAACAAAATCGGCAGCATCAAGAATTAGAGGATTCCTTTTCTTTATGGTTGTTGCATTAATGAGCAGCTACATGTATAGGACCAGGAGGTGACTAATGTAATTAACCTGGTGTAATGATATTGCTGAGGAAGAGAGAGAGGATTATGACATACTTAGATGTCAGTACTGCACAATTTCGTGTATGTTCCCAGTACTCTCAGGTTGTGTCTGACACAGGAAACTTCACCACTGATAAAACTCAGCCTACATCCATTCAGCTCATGCATTTTTCTGTGTAAAATGAGGATGTGAAATGGGGATTGTTTCACTAGGTTTGAAGGGGAGGGAGGTATTCAGTTTTGGTGGTTTCTTTCCTTAACAGCATAATAGTAATAATAAAACAAATTGTCCTTTCTGGTGAAGAATCTTCCCAAAATGTCTGCTTCTTGGAGCAGGGGTTGGGATTTCACGGAAAGCTGTGAAGGCAAAGTCGGAACTCGGGGATTCACACAACACTGGTCAGGGGGAGACAGAGGAACGGAAAACACCAAAACACAGCCAACTTGCAGCGAGCCCACGAAGAGTGAAGAGCAAGCATTTAAAACCCCACCACAGCAGCAACAATAGCAGCAATAAGCGCTTACTTTTAAATTACCGTTTCACCCGTCTCCTGAGGACAGAAACGGCTGCCCGAAGTTTTGCGCTGGGGTGGCCGCGGTGTGCGGGTTTGCAGCTCTGAGCACGTACGGGAGGAAGGCTGAGCTGAGGGGGACAGAAAACCGAGAAAGAGGGGGGAGCCCCAGCTACGCCTGGGCCACCAACCCTTCTCGGGGCTGGCAGCGGCGGGTTGGGAGCCTGGAGCGGGGGGGGGGGGGGGGGCTGCCCCCTTCGCCCCTCCCTGCCTGCTCCTTGCCTGCTGCCCGCGCAGAGCGCAGCGCAGAGCAGCGCAGCGGAGGAGGGCGGCTGCCGCCCGCGGATGCTGGGGCGCGGGCGGCGCGGGCAGGGCGGGCGGCGCGGGCAGGGGAGCTGTCCTTCAGCACCGCGGGCCGCCGAGCGCGCCTCCCGCACCACCGCCGCCGCCGCCCGGGGAGCCGTCCTGCAGCACCGGGGCTCGGCAGCGCTCCTCCCGCACCGCCGCCGCCCGGGGAGCCGTCCTGCAGCACCGCCGCACGCCGCTGTCGAGCCGTCCAGCGCCGCGCCGCCGCCGCCGCCGCCGCTGCCTTGATGCAGTAGCGGGGCCCGGGAGTAGCCGGGGGCCTCCGCGGGGCAGGGGGTGCCGCAGCCGCGCTCCGCGCCTGTAGCCAGCCCCCCCACCCCCCCGCTTCCCCCCCACCCCACGTCCGTGTCCTCGTCTTCCCACCGCCACCCGGAGCCCCCCTCTGTCCTCGCCCACCTCCGCCGGGAACGAGCGCCGCGGCTGTGCGGAAAAGCCATGGGAGGCAAGACCTCGGCACCTGTTCAGCTGAAATCAAGGGCTTACAGTATACTGGGCAGCCTGGCTTGGTGGTAGGAGCGAGCGAAAGGAAAGGAGAAGCAAGCAAGCAAAAGTGAGAGAGGATTGGAGCGACTGCCGCTGCCGGGAAAAAAAAAAAATAATAAATAAAACCCCAAGGAAGATAACTGAGAAGGAAAAGGATTTTCATGGCGCAGGCTGCAGAGCTAAGCAAGAAGACTGAAGGTTGCATCTCTGCTCTTACAGTCTCTAACTGTCTAGGTCCAGATAATGAGAGATTGTGTTGAGGATGCTGCTGCTGCTCCCCTGTTCACTGTGGAAGCCATCTCCAAATTAGCCATTACATATGGAAACTGGAGACCAGAATTTTAGAAAAAGGGATTAAGGCGTCTCATTTTGGGGGGGGTTCTCTCTTTATTTGTTTGGTTTTCTTGGTTCTTTTATCTCTTGTTATTTTTTTTTCTTTTTTTCCTTTTTCCTTTTTTTCTATTTCAACCAGAACGTTTCCAATTTAAAAGGCAAGCCTCTTCCCGTGTGGTCTTTCTAATTTACACTCTTTTCCGTGGGCTTTCTTACCTCCCTTTTTTGATATCTATCTCTCTATATATACCCATTATATTATTAGTCGGAATTATTATTCATTTATTTTATTAAACACACACACCCCAAGAATCAGAAGGCGGTTGGGTATTTGTATAATGAAGAATTATGGGGCTCTTTGACAGAGGTGTTCAGATGCTTTTAACCACCGTTGGTGCTTTCGCTGCCTTCAGCCTGATGACCATAGCTGTGGGGACCGACTACTGGCTTTACTCCAGAGGGGTTTGCAAGACTAAAACTGTCAGTGAGAACGAAACCAGCAAAAAGAACGAGGAAGTCATGACCCATTCTGGATTATGGAGAACCTGCTGCCTGGAAGGTATTTGATCCTGGATCTCCACCACCCCCTCCTTTCCTCTCCCACCAACCCATGTTTCCCCCCCCCTTCCAAATAAATCCCTCCACATTCCACCATTTTCTCACTTCATTCCTTTCACCACGGATGGAGAGCAGTGGGCTCAGTTACTCAGGGCACAGAGGCAAGAAGACAGGCAAAACATTCTCTGTTCTGTTCCCTTCTCCCTTCCTCTTCCCCACATTCCACCCCCACCCCTCCCTGTGAAAAATTCACTTCCCCTCTCAAACTGGGATAACGCGCGTGTTACAAAAACACCGAGAGACCCAACTGTGTGGTCTGCCTGTCTTCAGCTTGTTTGTACTGCCTGGGAAAGCAATGCCAAAATGCTGTATTATTGCTTCACCACACAGTGAAGTAATTTGCAAACGGCTTATTTGCAAAGACAAGACTGGGAGCGAGGGGTGATGCGGGGAGGGGGTGACTGCAAAGCACTTTGGATGCAATTATCAGTTCACTTTTGGAGGGGGGGAAGAGAGAAAAGGAAGCAGCCCTGTTAGGTCCAATATGCCTCATGCAGTGAATCTAATGATTCCAGTCATCTTGAGCAGAGTTCAGATCATTTCGTAATGTCTGTGAGCAACCACATCTCACTGGGCTGGGTGCAGAGGGGTCTAGTTGGTGGCTGACTGCTTTGGGACTGGGATTTTTCCTGGGTTTGTTTGTTGTTTGGGGGGGGTGGGGGGTGGGTTTTTGTTTGGGGCTGTTGTTTTGGGTTGGGGGGGGGGTGTAAGGTTTATGGTAAAGGCTAAAAATAAATAAGCCTCTGAATGGAAAAAATCCAGCCTAAGTCTGATGTGGTGAAACTGAACAGCAACTCAGTGACATGTCTGATGGCAGAAGAGACAACACCACAGCCAACTTCTCGAATCAGACGTTCCTAAGGGAGAGGGAAAGAAAAGAGGGGGCCAGTGATTTGCTTTTGAATATGTGTTGCTCGCTACCGCTATTGGCGTATGTGTGGGCTGGGGAGGTGGTCTTCAGCCTGTGCTGGAGGGAGAGGGGCAACCGATGTAAATACGTGGCTTATGTTACACACGTAGTGAGGAGGAGAGAAGCGAGAGCACAGGAGCGCACATTACAGCCCATTGTAAAAGCCCTGCTTATGAATTAGCTCCCAGCCGAAGGGTGGGCTGCCGGAGCTTTGTGGGCATCCAGGGATAACGCCTGGATCTGGTGGCATCCACTGGAGCTGGGTGTGCCTGGAGCTCCCCATCAGGAGACAACAGGGAGCGGGTACCGCAGGACTGATTCTCTCAGACCGGCACTGGGAGATGGGAAGGCAGTGGAGGTGGGGGGATAAACTATGCATGTCCTGATGTCTCTCACCAAAGCAAGCTAAAGCTGCTGTTTGGAAATGGTTGTGTTCGGGAAGAAGCATGAATTTCCCCCCCGTTCTTGGTGCAAACGTTTGAGTGATGGCTGGACATGTTTTGAATAGCTAAGTGACTTCATTGAGCGATGGTCTATTTGACGCATACTGCATTTAGTGCCCTTTGTCAACCCAAACTGCTGCCTTTTAACATATCCTGCAGAGGAGCTCTATGCTGAATACTATATGCTGTCTCCACGCCAGAAAATCCATAGCAGTAAATTAATGGGAGATGTTTTAAACACACACGCAAGCACACACGCACACATTTCCTCCAAATAGATAGAGGTATACAGCAATAAAAAATGAAAAGCTTTTCAAATAGCTATTCATTAGAACCAGGGAAGGAGACGTCTCCTTAATTAAAAATTAATGAGAGAGGGAAGAGAAAAAATAAATAAATAAAGGAAGCCTAAATGCAAAGCCATGTGGGGAAGGGAGGATGCGGGCTCCTGAGCTGCGTCCCCGGGCTGGAGGGCGGAGGGAGGCTTGGGATGGAGAGAGGACGTATGAGGACCCTGACCAGGAGAGGCAGTGAATTCGGATCATGTCTATCTGCCCACAGAGCTGTACCCAGAGAGACGAGGTCCAAGGGGGAGGAGGAAGGGGCGGGTGAGGTTTGTCAGATTGGAGGAGTTCAGGGCTCCTGCTCCTTTACATATGACGGGACCCCACAGGCACTGTGGAGAAGTGGCTTGCATGGCAAAGGAATGTGCCAGGATGCTTCCAATTAAAAGCCTCGAAGTGGCCCTAGCCCAGGCCCTCTGTCCTCCCTGTTGATGCTCTCCAGCGGGCTCAAACTGCAGCCCTGCACAAGGGGGTGAAATGCAGCCTGAGCACAAGGTGCATGGCTCTGGCAGGGTATTCCCTCTTGCCCTAGCCATGTGAGGGTTGGGCTGGCCCTTTCCCCCAGCCCCCGGGTTCTGGGCAGAAGCAGCAAGTGGGGTAGGAGGGTACAATTCACCACACAGGAGCTGAGCCCAGCTCCAAGTCCCTAGCCTGAGGGCACAGGTTGCACCAAAACTTGGATAAAAGCTCGGTAGCAAGAACATGTCAGCAGAAGGCAAAACCAGCCCTACGGCCTCATTCTTAACAGGCCCTGGGCATGGGTTTGCTTCCTGGGGTGGCATGGCACAGGTCTGGCACCACTGCTGCCAGGATGCCTCTGCCTGGATTCCCACAGCCCACATGGGCTGCTGGCTGGCACTGCCTTGCTCACAGGACAGCACAGTCAGATACCCTCACCAGCCCCTGGATGGCAGACCTTTTACTGTAACGTCTTAACCTTAAAGAGGGTTATTGTCTTTCTCAGCAGGAGGAATCAGAAAGGTGTCCCTGATTGACTCACTCTCCCTGGTGAAAGCTGCCGGCTGGTGAGCAGGAGGGAGAAGAGAGCAGCAAAGGATCCTTTCCCCCACGATACAGAGGGTGGGCAGATTTGTGGAGGGAAGGGCTTGGCCCCAGCAGGCTGTAAAAAGGACAAACCCCTTGGACTGTGCTCACACCCTGCCCACGGTATGGCACAAAGGCTCTGGGACAGACACACTTCTGCTGCCTGGGGCAGGTGTCAGGACAGGTCTATAGGGTGAGGGGAGGTATTGACGAGGAGGGCAGGAGGCTTTGTAACAAGGAAATAATCAAAAGAGCCCATACTTCCTCTTGCAACTGGTAGGAAACCTCTGATGAGGCCGTCTTCATTTCTGGGGATGTAGGGGAATGCTGGCATTAGTCAAGACTGTAGGATGTCAGAGATGGTGGACTCCTTGTGTTGAAAATACTGTGCTAAACTGTCTTTATTCCTTTTGGCCAAGATACCCAGTAGCAAAACCGGACATGGAGCCTCAGTCCAGGCTGTACACGCACATATACTGCAGTCAGAATTGCGAGTTCCTCTTGGAGAATTTGGTCCCCAGGCTTTCAGTTTCTGGGTCCCCCTCTCTTTAGTCATTCTTTTCCCCACAGTGGACTTTCAGTCAGCATTCGCAGATCTTGATATTGTTCCAAAAAAGAGTATCATTTGGGATCTTCCTACTTGATAGGTATTTCTTTCACTCCCTTTCTTGTGTCCTATAGTGAGCCCCTGCTCTGCGGTGGGGCTAAAGCAGAGTGGTGGTGTCGGTTCACATTACTGCAGGTCACACTTCTGATTTTTTTTTCCTCATCTTCCTTTCTCAGATTTTGGGGTTGCCCAAATGTGTCCCAGGGCCATTAAAAAATATTTGCCCTTCAAGAAAAATGGCCTTTCTCAGTCCTTTAAGTGCATAGGCACAAAACACACACGTGCACTGAGCGATTGAGATCTGCAAGCTCATGCCAGACGTGGATACTGCACCTCTTACAACTTTGAAATGGCTGCAGATCTTCCAGCCTAAATCCTTCTTGGCACCGAGTGCTTTAAAACCACTTTTTATTATGAGTGATGCCTTGTCTAATTCTTTCATTAGCTCCTGTAGATCTCCTATAGGATCTCAAAAAAGTGAGCGACGATGCCTTATCAGGGTCTTACGAAGCAAGCAAATGAAATGTATTTTATATCTGCAGGTTATTGGTTTTGTCATGTTGTCATTATTACTAGGAAAGGGATAGGTCTGGGAGGCTTTTATACTGAGAAGAAGGGAGAGAAGAGTCCAGGGCAGGCAGGCATGAGTGATGTGCATGGGGTTAGACATCCCTGTAGATCTGACTGGTGTGAAGGCAAGTAATTGAATAGATGTTGGTTGAGAAAATAATTCCTGCCTAGAGACCCTTCCCAAGGAAAATTAATGAGCTGATCTGTTCTCTTTTCAGCTTGTTATATCTGAACAGCACAGAAGAGTTAAGTGCAGTTTCAGTGTTTGCAAAAACGAAGAGCTGACAGCACAGCGAGGCAGAGCACAGGCAGTGGACAAGCTTCTGCCAGACAATTCTGGTGCTGTGTCGCTTCCTCATGCTACCTTCTCCCACTGATGTTCACTCCTGGGCCACCTCTTTTCTTTCACACCCGTCCTATGAGTGCTCTTTTTCCTTATATTCCCTTTTACCTTTCCCAACTTCTTTTCTTTTCCTCTTCTTTCCTGTCAGCATTCCTAGTTTTGTGTTGCAGAATTCCTTGCGGTCCTACTTCCAAGGATCCACAAATCATACATGATCCTTTCCCCTGACTTTTGCTGTTCTCATCCAGGGGCTTTTCTGAACACGCAGTGAACAGAGCAGTAGATTATTAAGTCAGGGTCTCCATGTCTTTGTGGTTCAGGAGCAGGAGCAGCCTAGCACAGCCCTGAGATGCAGCAGGAGGCAATGGCCCAGCACAGAGCTGATTGCTGCTGGCATTGCATCTGCCAGGAAGGAGGTGGATGCAGAGCTGGACAGGCCGTGGGTGAAGAGGAAGACAAAGGATTTTAAAAAGTGGGGTGGCAGATGGTGGGGAGAATTACTCAGGATCCCAGACTCGGTTGGGTTTGATTCTCCTCTCAGCTTAAATTCACACCTGACTGTACTGAGAAGGCAGGGATGAGAGGGGCTGAGACCTGCAAGCTCAGTTCCTTTGTGAGATTTTAAACAAGGAAATGCTGTTCCTCACCATTGAGTCACTGGGACTGACTTTTAAATTGCT